TGGAGGCTGCTAAGTTCGCAACCCATTGGCTACCGTTCTGTCGGAAAAACAACATAACGGTGAGGAGCCCCGACGAGTATTTCTCCTTAAAAAATTATCAGTGTCGGTTCTCGGAGACGGTGCAAAAGATTAAGGTAAATATAAAGAAATTAATTTTTCAGTATATAATAGTACTTGATTTTATTTTATTTTTTCAAAGATTTTACATTAAAAAAACAGTTCGGGCCCATTGAATTGAGGTGCGGTGCAGCTTCCCAATCAAGACCCATCTTTTAGTATTTTCTCGGATCCATTTTATTATTTTATTTTTTGAAAATTTGTTTTACATTATGATTTTGTGATGGATCGTAAAATTAGAATTATTAAAATAAAATAATTTTTTGATGTTGGACTTTCTTTCTTCATTTTTCATGATCTTAATCTTATAATTTATTGTAGAATGAATTGTAAAATAAAATGTATTTATTTTTTATACTATGTATTTTTAATATATAGATGAATGGTAATTTAAAATTTTTTATATAGAAAATTTATTTTTTTCTTAAATAATTAACTGTTTAAATTTATAGAGATTCAAATGTTTAATTTTAACTCAAATTAAAGTTTCTAAATAAATAAATATTAATTTATAATTATAATGGGTTATTATATAATTAATTTTTTTTAATTATTTATAATGCTATGTATAAATATCTATTGCATCAAATTATTATTGTAAATTTATAACTTTACCTAATATTATAATTATATTCTTACTTTAATTGTTTTTTATTGTTTTGATGCATTAAATATTCTTTAGTTCATAAAATATATTTATGATGTCAGAGAAAGCACATGGCATGGGGAATCAAGCATCGATAAAATAAATAATATGTTTTCATTTGAAGGAATCAAGTAATTTAGTAGTAAGAAAAAAATACGTTCGCTATCTTCTCTCATAGTATATAAAGTCTTATAAATCTACACATAATAATAACCAGATTTTTTTTTTTACTGCACATTAAAAGTATAATTTAAGTATAAATTATTAAATTATCATTAATGAAATAAAATACCATAAGAATAAGTTCTATTAATGGTATGTTAATTAAATTTATAACTTAAATTAGAGAAATGATTTTTGTGTAAATTTATTGTCTCATATTTTTATATAATCTAACATGTTATTAAAATCATTAATTTTTTTAATTTATATTAAACCTATGATATTAAATACATCTACTCATTTAATGATACGTGAAAGTTGTATGAAAATATAGTATAAAAAAGTTATTTCTATAGCACCACTTGTTAAATTATACCTTTACTATGCCATTGAATCTAAAAAATTATTTATTTGGTAATAGTTATAATTAAGTTTTTAGTCAATGGATGAAGGAAACTGTATTTGTTTTCTTATTTATTAATTAGATATTTTTTTTGAGATAAAGTGTGGGGTTATTGTGATATCCTTAATAATTAATATTACACTTTTTTAGTGTAACTAGTTATTATGCTATTGCATTATATATATATTTGAAATTTTATACTTTTTTTTCTGTTTAAATAAGTTACATAATATAAAAATTAATTAAAAGAAAAAATATAGTATTAATAATTAAAAGTGTGATAATAATATCACCTAAAATGACAATTAATTATTAGGACAATATTTACTAAGGGGAGGAGAAAGCAGCATATTGAAAAATGTTACCCACTTAAACTTTAAAATATTTGGAGATAAAGTAATAAATTTTTATTAAAAAATTTATACCTTCATTTATTAAAAAATTTATACCGTCATTTAATATAATTGCAAGTTTTAATTTTTAGTCATAAATTTTTTAACTACTGTGAATCAAAATAAAAAAAAAAAATTAGCAATTTATGTAATACAAATTTGAACACTAATAACAAAAAAAAAAACTTATTTAATAGTATTAAAATTAATTAATTAATTGATTTAATAGTAATAATATATTATAAAATTATATGAAAATTAATGAGTATTTTTTTGTTAAAAATTATAAAATTTATAAAAGTCGAAAAAAGAAACACCATTACCATGCTATACTTTAACAGAATCTAAAACAATTGTTTTGGTATTATCATATGATGCTTTATTAAAATAACATATTTTTAAAATGTTTTTTTTTCTTTTTTTGTATTTTTTAAAAGTACAATCATAAATAATACTTTTTCATATGTATAAAATTATATAAATGCAGTATTTAAAGAAAAAGACAAAAAAAACAGAGCACATTAGATGGGGTTAAGTTGTACCTAACCATCAGTCAATTACAATACTCAAAGCAAAGGAAATGGACAGTACAACAAAATTTGATGATTTCTTAATCGGCATCTAATTAATGTTCAAATTTTGTAATAATGAATTAAACGCACAGTACACTTATTGACTTCTTCTTCTTGTATTTTTTTATTTTTATTTTTTTCACCTACTACCTTACAGATAATGTACGAGAACATGAAGATGAAGGTAGAAGACGTTGTTGAGAAGGGAAAAATTGATTATGAATACATTAAAGACGATCAAGAACGCAAAGCTTTTGATATTTGGACTGACAATTTTAGCCGACAAGATCATCCCACTGTTATTAAGGTTGCCATTTGGCTGCCTGCAATACATATATTCATCAACACATAATTAAAGATATATATATATATTGGTGTTTAATAGTTGAAAATTTTCAATTTCAGGTTTTACTAGATAACAGCAAAGACAGGGACATTAGTGGTGATTTAATGCCAAATCTCATCTATGTGTCAAGGCAGAAAAGTAAGGCTTCACCCCACCATTTCAAGGCTGGTGCTCTCAATGTTCTGGTATGTTTTCTACTAAATTAAATTTTACTCCATCTATTCAACTATAAGCCAATAACATTTTGTTATCAATTGTAAATATTAGATTAATTCAAATTAATTAACCAAACAAGAGTTTAGACTGACCATAAAAATAAAATCAATTGTGATGCACATATATATATAATTATTTCTTGTGATGTGTAAAAGTATAAAAATTAAATATGTGAATTTTAATATAAGGCTTGTATTTAATTTAAAGTTAATTAATAATAAATAAAGTAATTTTTTTATACTGAACTCATATGTTTCTTTATTATATATTCGATATGAATGTTTTCCATCTACTGCTTATTTTGTTTTGCTAAAATTTTGGGAAAATTGATGAAGCTTCGAGTATCCGCTGTGATGAGTAATGCACCAATTATTCAAACACAAGATTGTGACATGTACTCGAACGATCCCCAAACTCCACTTCGTGTGCTCTGCTATGTATGTGATCCTGCAATGAGGTCCAAATTAGGTTACGTTCAATTTCCTCAGCATTTTCATGGACTCAATAAAAATGACATTTATGCTTCTGAATATAAACGCATGTATCAAATCAATTCCATGGGTCTCGATGGCCTTATGGGTCCAAATTATGTTGGGCCTGGATGCTTTTTTGTCCGCCGAGCTTTCTTCGGCGGCCCCTTCCCTTCTACCATGTTGCCACCCGAAATTCCCCAACTGGGCCCAGATTATGTTGTGGATAAGCCCATTACATCTGAAGCTGTATTGGCACTGGCACATAAGGTAGCAGCTTGCAATTATGAGAATCAGACCCAATGGGGTTCCAAGGTGAGCAGCAACTCTACTCCTGTGATTTCTACTCATATTAGTTTTGTAATTGTACCTCTTCTTCATGCTTCTACTGATTTTGGTGCAGATTGGATTTAGATATGGGTCAACGTCTGAGGACCTTTTTACAGGATATCGGCTGAAATGTGAGGGATGGAAGGGAGTTCTATGCAAACCACAAAGGGCTGCATTTCTGGGGGATGTACCAATTACCCTTCTTGATTTACTGACTCAGTGCAAGAGATGGTCCATCGGCCAATATCAAGTTGGCTTCTGCAAACACAGTCCTCTAACATTTGGTATCCGTTCCATGGGCCTGTTAATGAGCCTGGGCTATTCTTACTATTCATTTTGGAGCATTTGGTCCATTCCAGTGACGACGTATGCTTTTCTCCCCCAGCTAGCTCTCCTCAATGGAGTTAGTATTTTCCCAGAGGTACGTTCCTTCTAGAAAAACTGCAACCATGATATACTTGATATCACTCAGCACCACTAAAATGCTACTGAAAATGTCTTGCAGATTTCAAAACCATGGTTTTTCTTGTATGTCTTCCTTTTTCTGGGTGCATACGGGCAAGATTTGCTTGAATTTGTTCTAGCTGGAGCAAGTGTTGGGAGATGGTGGAATGATCAAAGGATGTGGTTGATAAAGGGACTCTCGTGTTTCTTGTTTGCCACAGTAGAGTACTTGCTCAAGTCCTTTGGCTTTTCCACACATGGTTTCACTGTGACAAGCAAGGTCGTTGACGATGAACAGGGCAAAAGATATGAGCAAGGGACTTTTGAGTTTGGTGTTACATCCCCCATGTTTGTACCAATAACAATGGCAGCAATAATCAACTTATTCTCATTCATATTGGGAATGATACAAGTTTCTGGTAGCAGCAGCAAGACAGATGGCCTATGTTTGCAGACACTACTATCTGGATTTGTTGTTATAAATTCCTGGCCAATTTACGAGGCTATTGGTTTCAGGAAGGATAGAGGGAAAATGCCTAACAAAGTAACTATCACTGCCATATTTCTGGCAGGAGTTGTTTACATAGCAGCTTCTCTCATCCTCAAGTGAAGACACAAAATTGGGGACTTTGGTTTGGGTATATTTGTTCTTAACGTCGTACTCTTAGGTTTCGTAGTTTGTATGAGGTGAAAAACCTAGGACTTCAACTCTTCAATTCAATGGCATCCAGCTGTTGTCTGGGTATATATGAAGATGCTATTTGTTTCGATTTTGACTTCAATGGAAAGAAGTTGTGGCAACAATTTGCCGTTGATCAAGGTATATTACAGAAAGAAAGAAAGTAGTATTTAAGGATGGAGAAAAAAAAAAAGAATTTGTTAGCCATCATCCACAGATCAGCAGAGTGACGAAAAATTAATACTTCCTCTTCCCAACCTTGAAGCTGGATGATCGAATAACCTCATCATCTGCTTTTAAAGTTGCCTCAAGAAGTGCCATTGACTCGGGTTTTGTGAAGTAGGTGAAGAGGAGGTAAATGCCATCCAAGTACGTGTTACATTCCCCTTCTTTATTTTTCTTCTTGATGCTATAGGCTAGAGGGATAACTCCTCCTGTTGAACACCTCCACGTACATTCCACCCCCAGCAACAAGCAGCTGCAATAAATTAAATGCGTTCATTAAACAAACATACAAACAAAATATATTGCATTACAGGATCTAAATTTGCTTTCATCCGAACCAAACAGAAAAGGGAAAATCTCCATAAAAGAAAAGAAGTATGAAAGAGCGAGCAGAGCATTACCTCCTCATATTTCTGAGTAAGGGCTAGCCTTTCATCTTCCGTCACATCGGGTCTCAAAACCGCCATAGTCTCGTATCATCACAGCCCTGGAGGGCACTGGGGCTCCTCTTTATCTTCTAAAACACCGATGCCTCCACCATTACCACCGCCTCCACCATTTTGCCAAGGCTGGTCACCGTCCAACTCAAGGATTGAGCCTGAGAAGCCGAAACTCTGGGCTTTGGTAATCAAGGTTGTCCTGTTGTGTCATTCAGGGAGTGGTTTGAAGGTGCGAGCCAAGGATAGGCACGGGGATACGAGTGAATTGGGAGAAATGATGAGAACAAAATGGGGATATTGTGAAGGAAGAGATCGGAACTGCAATCTTTATTCGTAATTCTCTGTTCTTGTTTTAGCTTGTGGGTTGAATTGGGCCGGCTTCCCAGTTTAGCCCTTTTTGCGTGGAGTACAAGAGAAGCCCATTGGTGTCTACACCCATTAGTCTTAGCATTACCCACTGAGGAACTCAAAAAAAAAAGAAAAAAAAATTTAATAAATTATCATGTGTTTTGTTTTTGTAATATGTTATCATAATTATTAGAGAAATGAGAACAAAACTAATTTTAATTTTATAAACATGTTTAGATTTTGGTCTTCTCTGGCCTTAATTTCTTCCAATTCATGATCTCTGTTTTTAAAGATCTGAAAATATATATCGGCAGGCTAAGGGTTTCAATATAAACACTAAATCTATACTTGATGGAACTTGGGTTCTAGCTAATCTCTCTATATATTTTTGAAACAAGTGTGTGTCGTTTAAGGAATTAATTCAGTGAATATATAGTATTTATGTAGATAAAGTTGAAGGGCTAAATAATTGATTATATTAATTAGGCTTGCCCATTTTCCCAGGTTCAGAATTGATAACTAGTAATTAGAAGTAATTGAAGAGAACAATTACATCCTCGGAGTTTTGTTTTTTCAAATGTATTAAAGCACTCTGGCCTTGAAATTAGGATATATATTATATAAAACCACCATTAATATTACTTCATAACAAAAGTTGCAGCATGTTACAAAATACAGATACATGGCACTAGCTAGTTCCAGACTAGAGAGTCTCTTGATTTAAGGAGAAAAATGAACTATCCTTCTTCAGGTAGAGGTAGAATATATATATATATATATTTTTTGGAACTAAAGCTAAATTTAGGTAGATCTAGATTAATTAGTAGATATGTTATATATGAAAATGTTCAGACAGAAATGTTGTGGTTCTTGGGATGCCCATTTCCTACCAACTCTGCTTCTTTCTGGGCGGCCTGCCTTGCTTCTATCTGCCTCTTTGTGGACTTATAATATGTTGCATACAATATCAGCTGGGCTAGACCAGACAATGTCCCAAGCCCATTTGGAATCTGTAAAAGCACAAAACAACTTAATCCTTAAAATTAGAATTAAGAAGGAAGGAGGGACAAATGCATGGGGTTGTGAAGGAATCAAATGAGTGTAGTAACTTACACAGATGAAGGGGTCAAATGGGAGGAGAGCATAAATGGTCCAAGCAACACCGTTGGCAAAGGAAGCTAAGGATAGGCAAAAGGGCATATATTCCACACTTTTTGTCCGCATCACTATTTTCTGCATGCAATTAATGCTTCCACATATCCATCATTATTTTTTTAAAAAAAATTAAAAAAAAAATTTAAGAAACATTCATGTCTAGTGTCAACAGCTCTTATCAAATTATATAGATAACCTTTAATTAACTGTCAAAAGTCTGAAATGAATAACGTATGTATTTATGGAAGACATTGAATTAGTTCATGTATACTGACCATAACTGATAAGGGTGAGGCATACATCATGATGTTGAATAAAATGCAGATAGTGCCAACCACCATAGAGCGGCGCTCGGTGGTCTTTAAAACAGTGAGGACGGGAACCGTGAGGGCCACCATGAAGATGATCTCCAACACCACCACTACCACCAACCTCAGCCTCTTCTTCTTCTCGGAGTAGATCAGGAAGAGGGTTATGAAGACGAGCTCAATCAGGGTGCCAGTGCCGTTGATGGTCCATACCAGGGTGCTGTTTGGGTGCACCCAGGGGATCCCGTACAGGACCCAGATCATGCAGTTGGTCAGGGTGGCTAGGTATGGGGCTGCTGAGTACTGCTCCACCGCACCTTTCTTGCAAATTTGGATAAAAGTTGGCCTGGAAAGTAAATTATTATGACATTTGAGACCATTGCACTAATAAATAATAATTATAATAATAATAATAATAATAATGGTAATTAAATATAAATTATACCAAATTATATAATATAAAATCATGAGGAGAATATGTCTTTTATAGCACAAAACATTTTTGTAATAATGACAATAATTCAAAAAAGCTTAGTTCTTAAAAATCAAATCAATTTAAAATTAAATTAAATGTTCAGATTTAATGATTCGTCTTTAAATTTTGAATACTTGAATTTAGTTAGTTAAAAATGGACTCTCACTGATGCTTTGAAAATATATTCTCATCCCCCAAATTCCCAATGTACCCAAAAAAAAAAAAAAAATCAACTTGCAACTAACCCAACAAATCTCGTGGTATGGATAGGCCATTTTTCTATGTTCTCTCTTTCCTCTGTTTCTTATTCAATTTCTTGGACGATATGACAATATATATATATATATATATATTTAGCCGATGGAGTTGATCTGGCCCGTTGATCATCTTAGGACCTTAAATCCAAGTAATATATAATGCAAAAATAAGAAAATAAAACAGGACAGAAGAGAAGAAAAGAAAATTAAGTAGTACTTACACCGGGGACAGGAAGAGGAAGAGTGCAATGATGTTTCCTGAAAAATCAACGCCCCAAAATTCAGTTTGGAAAAAACAAAACAGAAGGAAAGTATATTGTCTAATTCCTTCCAATACTACTCCACATCGGAATTCAATTCAATAAACCTCAAAACGCAAATTAGTAAAATAATAGATATGTATAACTACCAACAACGCCAATTGCATTTCGAGCAGCCTCCATTGAAGCAACCATGGCTCTTTTGGTATATGGGATTGCAAATTATAAAGAGAAGATATCTAAAATTTAGAGAGTCAGAGAATAGAAGACTACAAGATGAAGAGGAATGGGGGTAGTTTTTGTTGACATACAGTACATATATAAACAGGAATTCATAAATGAAAATGGGGGAGTGAGCTCGGCTATTGCAAGTACATCTGAATTGGTAGGTCACATGACGTGTGTTGGTTTTTGTTTAGGAGAGGGGGGGGG